ATTGCACTGGCTTCCGAAGGCCTGTGGAAGTCCAGTCTGAGAACTGATTTTATAAGCATAAACACACATTAGGGTTTTTTTTTGTTGTTCCCTGTACACATTGCTTCTTTCTTAACTGCTCCAGGCTCTCCAGATGGCTCCCAGAGCACCCTCCTGCTTTTTTGGCTGGAGAAAGGAAAAGAAGTAACCAACATTAATATCACTTTATGGTTAAATATTCTTATTACTACTCATACTAAAATGTTGCCTCATAAGTCTTCTTTCCCCCAAAGAAATGCTGCATTAAGATATGCTTTGTTGCCCTGGCGAGTTTTCTCAGTGGTTAGAGCATCAGCCCATGGACCAAAGAGTCACAGGTTTGATTCTGGTCAAGGGCATGTACCTTGGTTGCGGCTCAGTCCCCAGCCCTGGTTAGGGTCGTGCGGGAGGCAATCAGTGGATGTGTCTCTCTCACACCGATGTTTCTCTCTCTCCTCCTCTCTCTCCCTCCCACTTTATCTGAAGATAAAGGGAATAATATCCTCTGGTGAGGATTTAAAGAAAAAAAAAATTATGGCTTGTTCATTTATTTTATACTTCTCCAACTTACATGACTTTCTGAATTCAGCTGTGAACCTAGATGACAAATAAGTAATCGTACATTGGAAGAGCATTTCTATCCTCCATTCAACCCTCTACTGCTTCCATTCACTGCTGGCCATGATGGTTCACAACATAGAATTTTAAGTCTGGAAGGAATTTCAGGGATGGTCATAAATTATCTCAGGCTGTTTCTGTAAGGATGATGTAAATTTCTGTAGAAGTAAATCATATAATGCCAACTAGCCTAAATATGTTCCCAACTGTTCCCTCCCAAGGGGAGGGAGGACCCTGCAAGAATCAACTACTTTCAGGTAATAACAATTGGGATGATCATCCCCAAAGGCCCTGCATTTGGGATCAAGCAAAAGAGCCACTTTCCAGGCCAAGGGATTTTGGATTAACTGCAGGAGTGGGGTAGCTCATACACTAACTACTAACATCTAATATTAATGCATGTGAATAACTGCTCCTCCCCCACCCCACCCCAGGTTTCTATAAACTTCCTTTAGCCAGTGATACTGGTAGTGACCTCTCTCTGACAATTTAATTCAACAAACATTTACTGAAGGCTTACTTGACTAAGTGCTTTAAGTGGGCTAGGCTATAATGTGTTTATATAAAAAGGTTAACAGGTTGGCAGTTCTGAATCCTAAGCCCACCTAGGAATGAGTCCGGTGGTAGGTTGTTTGGGGAAGAAAATCCCATTACATTTATTTTGTGGTCCTCTCTCGTGAAGGAAGCCCTGGAGAAGTGGATTCTCCTACTGTACACTCCTAAGAAATAGCTCCTAATATATTAAAAATTTCATTCTAGAGAGACCAGACAAGGGTTCACTTCTTCCATAAAAAAACCTTTTTTCCTCCCCTCTACCAGTACAATACGGTTCTATAGTATTATTTGAGTAAAAACAGCTCACAAAATTACTTGAGGATAACTAGTGTGCCAAGCAAAAGACCTGAAGTCCCTTACTGCTTGCTATGCCAATGACACTCTTTCAGCTGTAGGAGGAGGAGAGACATGAAGAAGAAGAGAATTTCCATTCACTCCATCTCTTCATCCATATGCTTGCACCAAAACACCAAAAGCAGTGCCCGGTTGGCTCCCACTTCATTAAATTGGAGTATCTTGAATATCTCTTCCATGTAATGTCTATAGAGCAATAAAATAGTCACAGAGGAGCCGTCACTCTGAATTTTTATTGAAAGCCCGATGCAGGAAGGCTTCCACGCAGAGTTCAGATTTAGTGAGTGTGTGTGTGCCCGCTGGAGGGGAATCAACAGATCCTCGGACTAGGCCACATAGCAGGGGAGCTGGCAAGCTGTGACAAGTTACAATCTCAAGACAATGCGAATAACTCCATCTGAGACCCATGAGAAAGGGGACAACTTGCTGAGTTCCCAGGCCCTCTGAAAGCAATTCTTCAAATAATAGGAATTGCATGGGGACTGCCTCTACCAAGGACTAAGACACCACCCACACCCTTGTATCAGAGGGGCTCTGGGAAATGAATTATAGACAAATAGTTGCTGATGCCCAAGAACCTCTCGTCTATAAAGCCCCGCAGAGGGCAGAATTAGAAAAGGTTGGCAGTAGAACCATGCTTTAACAATATCAATAGCTTCTATGCCCCGCCTTCTTACTCCTAGTGACAGGTTCTCGGCCCAGTGAGTTCTTTTTGTGTACAGCTTCTGGAAGAGATATTCCTAAGTTCCTTTCTCCTTTATAAGATACTATATCTTTGACGAAAGGTTCTAGTAGGATACCTGTATTGTGTACTTAATGTGTACATATATGCATGCACCTAAATATGTTTATATTGTGCATATGTGTATGAGCATATGTCTAATATAAAATCAAGTATGACTTTTTTTTTAATGAGTGGTTGGTGATTGAACTAAAGGCTGTAAAATGGAAGGGCTTGATCAGCTCAAACTATTGACAGTAGCAATTTACCAGAAGCCTCTGGAATTACATGATGAATTGCCATTTTATGTCCGTTATAACTCATAAAGCAACACGAGGCTCTTGGCAGCCCACCTTCAGCCAAAATTAACCAAGCCAGCAGAGGGGTTGGAAGCTCAGCAACACAGAACTTTGCTTAGTGCCATGACGGGTTAAAACACAGCCAAACCACTAAGACCTCATGAGGGTTTGACACCACCCAAGAGAGTTAGTTGTAGGCTCACAAAACTGATACTGAAAAACAATTCATTAAATAAGTACTGCAGGCACCATGGCAGGTCTGGGGACACAGCCCCGAGAATGAAAAACAGGATCCCTGCCTTCATGAAGTTGTCAGAAAATTCTGTTGAGTGATGAGCTTTCTTCGGGATAGCAAGTTACTTTGCGGACTTTGCACCTTACTGGTATAAGGGCCAAGCAGTAGCTGGAATTATCTCAGTGCAGCCCTTGGTGAGATTGCTGAAGCCCCAGCACCAAGTATCTGCTTGGGAACTTTTATCCACTAGTGCGCCCTTCTACCCAGGAACACAGATCTGACTTGTGACATGGCCCCCAGCAGTAACCATCCCAGGAACTCCTTGGAATCCTTTTAGCTCCCTGCCATTCCTGTTAGCTTGTGCTGTCATCATTTAACTCTTATCCAACGACTGGCAGGATGGAATTAAGGAAACATGTTTAAAATGGAGAGCTCCTTTGTGAAAATTGGCCTCTGGCTCTTTAAGGCTGAAGGGTTGGCTGTCATTGTTTTATCTCACTGATAAAGTTATCCTGTAACCCAGTGTCAGTTAAATGAGCTATAAAGAAAAACACCTTTAAAATACAAGGGAATTGTACTGTGACCTGTCGGTAAACCTAATTCTAGGCAAGAGGGTAGAGAAGGAAACACCCTAATTGTGTCCACCTAAATTGTGATCATATTGATTTAGAACTCTTTGTCATGTAGTCTTTGTCAGGGAATTGGTTACAATGAACAAAAAACCCAAGTGCTCAAGTCATTGCCGGAGTCTAGTGCTTGCGCTGTGCAGAATACACCCCACCAAGGACTGCAGGGCTGCCCCAGCGGAGGGAAGCCAGTGTCAGCTAAGAGGAGGAGAAAGAGCTTCGGTTGCAATAAGAACCACCACATGATTTATCAGCGCAACCAGGAAAACACTGATACGGATCACTCAATAATCGTGCTGAAACAGTTTGCTGAAAATGGTCCCAGTTTGCACCTACTAATAGGTAAGACCACCCATCAAATTATGCCAGGAGCTAACCTGCCTAGAAACATCTAAAAAATACATAAGATTACAACAAAATACACATCTGCCCAGAGAACTGTAATTTGCTGTAACAGTCCCAAGTTGCCTCCAAACTGACTGAGGATACTATCTTTTAAAAAACAGTAGTATGGACAAGTGTGGGGATTGCAGCAGGGAGGGGAGTGGGTGGAGGAGGGGGGGTGGAAGAGGGTATAGGGGGAATAAATGGTGATGGGAAAAAAATCAAGAAAAATAATTAAAACAGTAACTACTACTGCACACAATACCTGAAACCTTAGGTTAAAGTGTTGGACGAATAAATGTTTTTGCTAGAAGTTGTGTGTACACTATGGAGCAGGAGGGGGCTCCTACCCAGCCTGGTGTAGAAATGAACTAAGGCAGAAATAAGCCTGGATATGGTGGAAAACTTCCAGGTAAAGGGGCCAAGAGCAAGGGCACAGAGGTGTCCACATGGAGCTTTTGGGGGCTCACACGCAGCTCACTAGTCCAGTGAAGGGCAAGGCATGCCCAGGGCATATCTGTGCTGGCCGGCCCTGAGCACACCCAGCCTCGGGAGGCTTTAACCAGGGTAGCAACGTGGTCAATATTTGCTATTTAGATGAATCACTGGCAGCTGGGCAGAAGATGAACTCGAGACCAGTTAATAACACAAATACTTCAGGCTGCTATAAAATTGAGGCAGACGGGTAATCAAAACAATGTTACAGCACGGTAGGTCACAGCTCTGGAACACAGGGGTTGGGAGTGGGTTGTATCCTATTATAAAACTCTAGGGCTGAGGGATGCCTTAATCCAGAGATGCCAAATACCCGAAGTACAGGGAAGAGCTGGTCAGGAATGACTCAAGATTTTTAATTCCCAGAACAGGTAAACCAGAGCCCAGTTAGCCTCTTGAGGGGAAAAACACTCCCCATTTTTGGTAGGAGAGGGAATGAAATGGCACACAGGGATTTTACAAGAATCAAGCCAGAGGACATCTTAGAACTGTTAGGTTGATTTAAAGCTGCGCAGGGCAGTTAACAGTTTGTTTACAACGAGGAGTTATCTGACTCCGAACACACTGCACGTGGCGCTGAGACGTGATCATGGCAAGCAAGCCACGGCTGGCCTGCCACCCCAACACAAACACAGCCAGGAACAGTCGGGAAAACGTCGGGATGAAGGTGGGGTTTGTTTTTTATTATAAAAGAAAAAAAAAAAAAAAACTCCTCAGAATCTTAACGAAAGGAATATTTCACCCACAGAAGAGACACCAGGATACAAAATTACGTTTAACCCTCGTCCTGTCCCCCTGCCCGAAGCAGAGATGGGGACAGTGGAAGCAGACAAGCAATTCTGTAAGACAGACTTTCAAATCCCTACAAATATGATTAAAATCTAAACTTGTTTTGCTTTTAAAAAATTTTTTTAATATATCAAAAGGCCTGCTTTAGTGACATGCTAGTCCCCCAGGAAATAACCCAATACCTCCATGTCAGTAACATACATGCTCAAGTTGACCAGCCAACTCATATTTCTAAACCCCTGTGCATACGTGTGTCTTTCAACCAACGCCACGGGCTCGGGTGACTGCCGTGACCACCGCTTCCTCCTGTGAGCTGACCAGTGTGCACCCCTCCAGAAGGGCGGGCAGGGCACAGAAACCCTTAAATGGTAGTGAGGGTCTAACAGACCCTAACAGCCAACTTGTCAGGCACCACCACCCTCACCCCCACCCCAAAAAAGGAGAGCCTTGTTGCTAACCCGACCACTCGCCTCAAATCTGGCTCCCAGTGACCAGGATGGTTTTTCTCCTTCAGAAAAAGCACACTTATCCGCACACCCATATATATAATTTTTTTGTTTTTGCATTTAAATATAAAAATACTACTCTGATTTGTGTTATAAATGGAGGACCAAGCAATGAGAACTTTTTCTGCTCAGGTAGGGACCCCACCCCTTTATGCTGAGCTTGTCTTCCAGTGAGGGCCTTAGCCCCAGGCCAGGGGGCACCCCAGGGTGAGAGGGCACCTTCCTGCCTGACTCCCATGCTTTCCGAATTGTCACTTTAATTAGAAAACTGGTTATGACCTTTGCAGAAATGGAACTTCCCACCAAGAGGGAGTATCTAACCTAACCACATTATAAGCTGAGCACCCCCGCCCCCTTCAGCTACCTTGAAGAAAAAGGTCCTCTCCCTCCCTTCACAAACACTATGCTCTGTCCGGATAGCTACGCCTGTTGGACAAACACCTGATTAAGTGAAGCAGTGGTTATGTTCCCCCACCCCCTCCCCACTAACACACTAGAGAAAGCTTCAGTGATAGGGGAAAAAAGGGTGTGTGTGTGAAGAGATTAAGAACTTGACCCCTCTAACCTGGCCAAAGAAAGCAAGAGCTATTAACGGGGCACAAGGAATAAAAAAAGACCTTGATATTCTGCCCTGTGAGTTACAGCTGTTATGACAGTTGAGAGGGGCGAGAGCGGGACGAAGAGTTAATCAGAAGGGGCTGGACGGCTGCGAGTCTAGTCCGCTCAGTTCTTGTACTGGAAGGGCTCATCGCCAGTTTCGTTGAGAAGACACGTGCGGATGAGGGCTTCTGTCACGGCGAAGGGGTCACAGTTGGCAGAGGGGCGCCGGTCTTCAAAGTAACCCTTCTTCTCCTGGCCCACAGCCCGGGGAATGCGGATGCTAGCACTCCGGTTGGCCACGCCAGCAGAAAAGTCGTTGATGTTGGAGGTTTCGTGGAATCCAGTAAGGCGCCTGGCGTTGTCCCGGCCCCCCTTGGGATCGTAGGCTCGGATGTGGTACTGGTGCCGCTTGCTCATCCTCTCGATGGACTCCTCAATGTACCTAGAGGAAACAGAGAAGATGAGGGTCCAACCTGTCCCCAGATCTGTCCTTCAAGGACAGGAAAGGTATGGATTCAAGAATGGAGTGGCTTATCTAGCAAAGACTTTTTCCTGTTTCAGATTCACCTCAACATGGTTCCAGCAGAGCAAATACTGCCTTGTTACTGGCATGTCCCAGTGCTCAGAATAGTGTCAGACACGCAGCGGATGATGTTTGTTGAATGAAAAGATCCTAAGCAAAGACTCTCTCCCACCCATAAGCATTAAATCCATTCCCATGCTTGTACCGTTACTAATTTAGTTGTTACGAGAGATTTTCAAATGCCATTAATCTGTGTCAACTTTTCCCTATCGCCACCCTTGAAATCTATTCCTGGACTATTTTTGGCACTTTGCGAATAGGAGCAGAATGATAGGATTAGCAGACAATTTTTGAGGCCAAGTGGCAAAAGCTAAGTTCCGAACTGAGAAGTCTGGCTTACTCGTCCCCAATACACTCAATCCCTGGCAGGTATTCTTGCAGAGTAAGGTGGCCCAGCAGAAGGCACTCACTTCAGACCGTTCTCCTCCCGCATGGCCTTGGTGCTGAAGTTGGTGTGGCAGCCCGCACCATTCCAGTTCCCGGGGATAGGCTTGGGATCAAAGGTCGCTATCACTCCGAAGTCCTCACACACTCGGTGCAAGATGAAACGGGCCACCCAGAGATGATCTCCCATGTCGATTCCTTCACAGGGTCCTATCTGGAATTCCCACTAAAGAACAAGAAGGTTGGCCTTGAAAATAAAGCCAACAGCTCACCCCACTCAGAAGCTCTGAAACCCGCTCCCGCCTCACCTCCAGCCCTCCCACCTCTTAGATTCTGGGTTTAAAGGAGGGGAGCATCAGCAGCTCTTGCTACCGAAAGTGCCCATCTGCCTACTGGTGGGAAAAGCAGTGGACTAGGGCCATTACCTGGGCAGGCATGACTTCGGCATTTGTCCCCGCGATCTTGATGCCGGCGTACAAGCAGGCCCGGTAGTGAGCCTCCACAATATCCCTGCCGTAGGCTCTGTCTGCTCCCACGCCGCAGTAGTACGGGCCTGCAGGGGTGTCAAGACGAAATGTCAAAAGGAAATCCAGATCATCCCTTCCCACCGCAGATGCGTGGCCAAGGTCACATCAGAAAGCTCTAAGATCGGCTCTGTGAAACCACTGTGGCGCCTTCCCCGGAGGTCAGGGAGGGGCTCCTCTGGGCCGGAACCTCAGTGGAGCCAAAGGTTTTCCCTCAATGGCTAAACATCTACGTTTGGATCTGGGTGATGCGAGGGTGTTATTCCAGCCAGTCTCCAGTCTCAGGGACACTCCCGTGGCTTTTTGATCCACAAGGAGTTGGCCATCTCCTCACCAACTAAGCAGCTGGGGAGAAGGAGCAGGTTTGCCTCTCACCGAGGGGACTTACCTTGGGGGCCTGGGAAGCCATTGGAAGGCCAACCAAAAGGGTGCCCATCTGTGCCCATGAGAGTATACTCCTGCTCCATTCCAAACCAGGGGTGCTGACTGCTCACCATGTCCATTATCCGTTTACAGGTATATCTTAAATTGGTCTCTAGGGGAGAAAAAAAAAGTCAACAAGCCTTTAGAGACATATGGGCAAATATAGTCTTGGTGCTGATGGGGAAAAGAAAAATTCTTCCAAATCCATGCAGCCTGTGTTGAGTACAAGCTAAACGGACCCCCTGTAAACCTTTCTGGGTCCCATCATCATCAAAGAGGAAAATGGGAGAAGCTGTAATTAAACACTTGTAGGGAGATTCCCGAAAAACTCCAGTTGCAATCAGGTCACATGACAGTGGGTCCAGGAAAGAGCAAGTGTGCACCTTATCAGCACGCTGGCCACCAACTAAGTACCGAAGGCCAGGCACGGACACCCTCTGCTCACAAGACAGCTGGCTTAGTCCTAGCTTCCTGGGCATGTAGAGCCAAAGCTACAGTTTTTATTGAGAGAATCTTTATGTATTAGGAGCCCGACATTCCAGGTGAGAAGATGAAGTGCTGAGTTATACAGTACTGGCTGGTGCAAAAGAAAAACCCTAAGTCTCCACGTACACAAGTGAGAAAATGAGGCTCAGAGATGTTAGTGAGGCGTCTGCTCAGGTTACAAAGCAGGCGGCGAAGCCAGGAAACCCATGACTGTCTTGGCAGCGGAGCTCAGCCTTTACCACGATATGATGTGCCTCTCAAACCAAAGGCAACTGAGGTCCAGAGTCACCCAGTGACTTGCCAAAAAGTCTCACTGGCAAAGTGCAGCAAGAGACTTCACAGAAGTGAGATTTCAGCTGAGTTTAAAAAGATGAATGGCTGAGAACACAGAGCAACAGGCGTGCCAGGCAAAACCCAAAGGTGCAGTGATAGTAAACCTTGAGGCAAACGTGTTCTCAATGAACCAAGATGCTCGTATTTTGGTCAGTGGACAGAGAAGAAAACAAGCTGTCCGGAACGAAGTAGCAACCACTAGTCGATGTCAAACTGTTCTTAATTCTTTGCACGTATTGACTCATTTCATCCTCCAAACAACTTTATGAGATGGATTTTGTGATTTCCTCACTTTAAAACTGGGGAAATGAAGGCTGGGTGATAACTTGCCAAGTTCATAGCCAGTAAATGGCAGATCCAGAGTACAAACCCAACATTCTAGCTTCAGAACCATGTTCTTAAAATCTACAGGCAGACAGGAGGACTGTGTCATGGAGGACTCCAACCAGCAAACAGATTTAGAAGAATTCAACTGTCTGCAACCAACAGGAACCATGGGAGGAGGGCCACTTTACCGCTTTGAATGAGGAAGTTCAAGGTAGAGAGATGCCCATCCCATCCACCAGACTCCTGAAACAGTTCTGAGAAGTCTAGTCCGCCATGACTAATTCTGCAGTATCCTCTCCCTCTCCTTTATGGCATTCACGAATTGGGGTGGGGTCACCCACATCTATCTCATACACACCTGCAGGTTTGCGGTTGTACTTTAAGACTTCACAGAACACCAGCTTGTTGGGGTCCTTGCGGAAAGGGTCCCGAAACATGGCAGCAGGGACAAGATACATGTCACTGTTGGAGCCTTCAGACTGTAAAGTACTCGAGCCATCAAAATTCCACTCTGGCAACTCTGGGGTAAAAAGAGAGAAAAATTAAGTTAAAAAGGCAGTTTTCCAGGTTGCACACAGCCCCTCAGTCACCTTTCCACCTTTGAAGATCTACACCAGCTGTTCTCAACCTCTGGGTGGCAACCCTTTTGGGGGTCGAATGACCCTTTTACAGGGGTCACCTAAGACCATCCGAAAACACTACTTCCAATGGCAATTCATAACAGTAGCAAAATTACAGTAATGAAGTAGCAACAAAAATAATTTTATGGCTGGGGGTCACCACAACGTAAGGAACTGTATTAAAGGGTCGCGGCATTAGGAAGGTTGAGAACCAGCGATCTACACTCTCTTTTCCTGAAAGTCAGCAACACATGACTGCCACTATTACTATGCAGAACTTGACATGTGCACATAGCCCTGCAGTCCTTTCTGAGTTTCTAGTAAGATCTTTGCTTCAAAGGAACAACTTAAAAGAAACAACTATCACAAGAATGATGTTTCCTCCCTAAATAAGACCCCAAGGAGACAAACTGAAATAGTCTGACATCAGCAGTGAGCCAGTCATCATTTAACAGATTTAAATAGGAGAAACCAAGATTCTTGATTCCCTCACCAGACCAGATGCCCAGCAGGATGCTTCTACATCACTTATCCACTTGACCCACCATGTTTTAAAGGCTGGTTTCTTCTTCTCTCCAGCAGACGGAGTTCTCCAAAGGTAGAGACCAAACTCTTACCTGGTATGCCCATTGCCTGTCTAATGCCTGCCACATAGCAGGTGCACCAGGTATGCTTCATATTATGTTCATTCATTCATTCACTCAAATGTGAAGTTAGAAGAGGAAGCTATCCTAAAAGTAGGTAAGAGGTGACAGTTTTTTCTCCCCTGATGCCTCTTCAGAAGAGGGCTATGGTTTGATCTAGACCAGTGAAGGTTACAACTGATATAATAACTGCTAGTGGAACAAGCAATCAGATGACTGAAACATTCCCAAAAGTGGTATCAACTAAAAACAAATGAATGGCTTGTCCTACTAAGAAACCGCTTTAGGGTGTTTTCTTTGCATCTAGAACCACGGTGATATGAGTTCAAAACAGTATTTAGAGAGTTTGTAAAGTAGGTGTCTCGGTCAGGTTAGAACAGTGGTTTACAAATTGGGTTCCTGGGGGTGTCTAAGCCAACTAAGTAAGGTTACCCTAGAAGTCTCTAGACCCCTTCTCCCAGACTTCTCTTCTGTCTTCTACATACTGACTTACATGCAAGATTCCATATGAATAAAGGGGTCCATTGTTGTCGTGCTTTGAGGCAGTGTAGGAGCTTAATGTTGACAGAATGAAGTCTAAAAAGCCCTGCCTTAGAAAAAGCTTTCCAAAGAGAATAATGAAGAGGCCAAATCTAACGGCCTGGTCTCAGGCTGCTGCCCACCCTGATGCGGCTCCCACTGGGCATCTACTCCCCACCCTGCTGTCTCTCACCTTCTATACACTTGGGCTCACTGTCCAGGGTCCGGGTCTTGCATCGCAGTCCTTCTCCAGTACCGTCAATCCAGATATACATAGCTTGGACTTTATCACCCTGAGGCAGGGACATGTACACCTGCTTGATGCCTTTGTTCAAGTGGGAACTCGCCGAGGTGGTCATGGTGGAAGATGTTCTGGTGAGAAAAACAAAAACTTAACAACAGCAGTTCCAAAATGACCCTCTGAAGGAATCACTCAATAAGGACAGGGAAAGCAAGTCACAGTGAGAGTGGTGACCCCTTCCCTTTGGAAATCACACACTCAAAGGTGTACTTATTTACTCTGTTTTCAGGGGAATTAAAGTCGTATATTAGACAAAAAGTCTCTCCTTATAAGCTTCCTCAAGCTAGAATCTTGAGGATTGTTTTATTTTATTTTTTTATACTAAGACAGTAGGGGAAAAAAGAAACCAAAAAAAAAAGAAACACAAGTTTACAGAACAGGTATGGTCCTTCAAAAATCCAGCCACAAAAAGGCTTGGCTGCTAAGGTCTTTGGGTGAGTCTTCCCTTTGCCTGGCATCCTAGTGGGCACATCAACAAAAAAACCCTAACTGAACATTCCCCCAAATCTCAAGGGGAAAAAAAACTCACATTGAGATGGTAGGTTAAGATAAAACAAGAGGGATAGCTAGATTTAAAAGGCTGGTGGCTTTCTAAAAGAGCTGCAGTCATTATAACACTAAGATGTAAAAATAACTGATCCGAGTTGGATTCAAGATGCCCAGTGCCATCATTTCCATCACTTGGAGCCAAAATTCTCTTCAGAAGGTAAGTTTGGGAATGACATTCTGAGATTCCACTCTAGAGAGCTTTTCAAGGAATTAGGAAATCCCCACTTCTACATGAAAAAGATGTGGCGTTTCGAACGCTGAGGCATGCTAGAAACTGCAAGCCACCACAAAATCTCAAAAAGACACTCTGAAGCCACAAAACCTAAGAAGAGACGATTCTGCCCTCCCTCCTCCCGCCCGCCAGTGGCCCAGGGTGGCTGGAAAGGGAACATATTGTTCTCCTCCTATGACTTGGGCAACTCTGAAGCATAATGACAAAGTTTCTATGGGCAACCGTCCATGTTTACCCAGCTGAAAACTGCTTCTTCTTCCAATAGCTTCGCCCTTCCCTTGGGGAAGAGGAACTGCCTGTCCAGCTGCCCTCTGCCTACCACCTCTAGAAGGCTTGGTGGGTCAAATCCCACCCTCACCCCCACACCTGCCTATTAAGTCCAGAAGGAACAATCCTGATCCCTCCAGCTCCCACTAAAAGGTACAACCCAGCCTCCAGCTTTCCTCCTAGACATCCAGGCCACAATTGCTCCCAAAAGCATCGGTGCCAGATCTTCTGCTCAGTTCCGTGAGACGAAGCTGGTCGCCAACAGCCTAGTTGTTTGCTATCAACAGGTGCCACCGCGGGCCTCGTTGACCCGGTGGGGAGGAAAATGGGACTCTGCAGTTTTGCTCGGTCTCTGCAGCTGCTGCTGGCTCGTATCCTCCTCCCTGCCTCCCCACTCACCCCAGCCACAGGTCATGCATGTCGGTGGGGGTGCACTCTTTGGCCCTTCTCCTTTTGCAGTGGCGTTCGTGCCGGTCCTCCTTGTCCAGCTCTCGCTGGTACACGCACCGGAGATTGAGGGGCGAGGGAGTCGGACACGGCGAGGGAACGGAATACGGAGAGGGAATCGAACAAGGAGAGGGCGAGAGAGTCGGAAAGCGATCGGGATCACACCGGGATGTGCTCGTGCCGGGACACGCGGGCTGGTGGCTCAAGGTCTTGACTCGAGATTTCTCCCCCGAGTTCACCGAGTAGGCGACAAAGCCATAGCAGCAAGTGGAGGGAGACTCCGAGACCGGCGACTGCGGGTTCCCTTCTTCTTTCGCTGTCTTCTTCGCGGATTTGCGGCTGGGGGGGGATCCCCCATTGGCACCCCCATGGCAGTTGGAATAATCCACTTTGAGAGCAGCCCTTTCCCACTGAAATGTCCCGAAAGTTTGTGCCCCGTCCCGCGGGTGCCCGTCCAGATCTCAAGGCCTGGCCGAGGGGGCCATCGCCCTCCGAGGGCCAAGGTGGGGGGCCGCGGGGCGTCGGCGGGAGAGACAGCGCGCCGACGCCGCCTCCACCCGGCCAGGCCAGGCCTCTCCACGGCCGCGCCCGCCGCCACGCCGCGGCCCGGGGTCCCCATTGTTCAGTCACAGTGGCGGGCCCCCGGGACCGCGGCCGGAGCTGGGCGCACTAACGAGGCCACTCGCCGCTGGAGATCACTAGGTCACCACGACCGCGGCGATCGCCAGGCCGCCCCCGCGGAGCGGACGCGCCCCCGCAGGGGCCTGCCGGCGACTCCGCCACAGCGCCCCACGCCGCCGAGCGACCTCCAGGGGCGGCGCTTGGGGCCGCAGGCCGCCAGACGGGCCTCAAAACAAGTCCCGCCCTCCTCCGAGCCTGGCGCCGCCGCGCGCCCCCGTCGCCAGCCCAGACCCGCTGGGAGCCAGAGCGGCCCCGGCCCGCAGGCCGAGGGGCAGACGCGGGCCGCGACGAGGGAGGGGCCGAGCTCCGAGCCCGCGCCGCGGCCCCGACCCCGGGGCCCGCGCGCCGCTTACCTGGGGGGCGAGCGGGCAGCAGGGCGGGCAGGCCGTGAGAGCGAGGCGCGGAGCGGAGAAGCGAGGAGGCTGCGAGTGCGGCTCAGACGCTCCGATCTCCTCCCATCCTCGGCTCTGCGGGGCCGTCCGCCGCCCCGCGCCTTTTATCGGCGGCCGGGGTCGTCCCCAGCGCCCCGATTGGTTCCCAGTGGCCGGCAGCCGGGGCGGATCGGCTGATGCGCGCCCGGGCACCGCGGCCATTGGGCGACAGGCCGAGCGGGCGCCGCCGGGGAGGGGCCGAGCGCGCCAGGAAAGAAAGAAAGGAAAAGGGCCGTGGGGGAGGAGCGCGGGGGAGGGGTTGTGGGGTGGGGGAGGGGAGCGGCGGGGGAAGGGGTGGAGGGGAGGGGAGGGGCGGGAAGAGGGGAGAGGTAGCGGGGGGGGAAGGGAGGGGAGGGGAGGGAAGGGGTCGCGGGTGGAGGGGGGAAGGGGAGGGGAGGGGAGGGGAGGGGCGGAAAGGAGGGCGGGTTGCGTGAGGAGGGCGAGTTCCTGCCGGGAAGGACCCTGCTTGCCTTGGCCTTCGCTGGCCACTGCGGGGCGTCCCTGCAGCCCCGCCCGACTCTGGAAGCTCTGGGCAATCCGCCCTCAGCCTCCGCCCCTGCAGCCTTCAGGCTGGATCGTGTTGCAAAAGAGCCCTGTCTTCCAGGAGGTCCTACTGCAGACCCCATAGCTCCCTGAGGAAATTTTGACCCACTACAACATAAATTTGTTTTTTGTTGTTAGAGAAACCCCCAGCCCCAGCCCCCTTCTCCGTGCTGAGTCAAGTTGAGAGGAGCCCAGGGCTCGGGGGCCAGAGAGCCCTGGACCTGCGGAGAGCTCGGCTCAGAGGGGCTGCCGGGGTAGGCCTGGATGAGCCCGTTCCTGGTGGGTCTGGGGAGGTGACCAGAAGCCTGCGGTCTCACATTTATAGTCAACGTGCAGCGTCTGTACTGTCATCCTTAGAGAGGAACCCGAGGGCAATAGAAGCAGAGTCAGGAGACCTGTCTGATTTCCCTTCTGTTACACCTAAAGCAAGTCTCTCGGTCTCTCTGGGCCCAAGTTTTCTTGTCTGCAAATACGGTATTCAAGAGAGGACCTTTAGAGCTGCCCACCAGACTGGAAATTCTGTGTGCAAACTTCCCCAAGGGCCGCTGAAAGGAAAGGGAGCTCTTTCATGCCCCCAGGGTGGGTGGAAAATTTAGGATTCCTTAAACAAATCCTCCGCGGTTTTGCTTTTCAGGTAATTTATGGCACCTGTTTTTTAAAATCTGGAAAATAAGATTCAGTACCCTTCCTCCTCTCAGCGTTGCTGTGATGGTTGAGAAAATGTATAGGAGAACACAATCGCGAAATGGATGCTTGTCAACAGATGCACAATAGTGTGTGTGTATATCTACATGTACATATACAGTACATGTAGATACTGACATATATACACCGATTCTAGTACTTAATCATTCTCTATTTTTATTCCCTGAGATCCATCTGATGGTATCTGGCCTTTGTTGCGTCTATCAGGAGCTCCAGTGTTTGGGACTTTGAGGTTTTTCTATTTGAAGACCAAGAAGTCATGTTTTCAGTGCCTTTGGAAGAGGGAGGGAAGAAGTTTCCTCTTCTGGTTATTTTTTGTACCACAAATATGGAAAAGAAATGTTGCCTGTGACCACACACATGTAACTTGGCTTCTTTGGTCAACATCTCTCCCCTTGAAGAGTGTGTCTAACTCTAGCGCTTTAAAATGACAGAGGCTGCATGCATCTCAAAAGGGCGTTTGGTGTGTTTTGGACAGGTGACATTCTGGACCAGGTCAAGTGCCTTGGGAGTGTAAGGGACTCCATGTTAAGTTTCAGTGCTGCATTTTGGAGTCTTATGATGTGGTTGCTGAATGCTGGGCTTCAGGTCAGACAAACCCAGGTTCAAGACCTCTTACCAGCTTTGTGTTGGCCAAGTTACTTAGCCACATGAAGACTCAGTTTCCTTGCCTACAGAATATTGTAGGGATTAAATTCCCTGGCCAGTTTGCTCAGTGATTAGAGCGTCAGCCCACAGACCAGAGAGTCCTGGGTTCGGTTCCTGCTAAGGGCATGTACCTCCGTTGCAGTTTGTCCCCAGCCCTGGTTGGGGTCTTGTGGGTGGCGGCCACTTAATGTGTCCCTTTCACGTTGATGTTTCTCTCTCTCTCTCTCTCTTCCTCTCTCTCCCTCCCACTCTATCTGAACAAAAACGAAAAAATGTCCTCGGGTGAGGATAAAAAATAAATAAATAAGTAAGTAAAATATTGTAGGGATTAATTGTGTCAGCATATGCAAGTAAATTAGGATAGTACCTGGAACATAGTGTTTAAAAAACACTGATATGATTATTACAGGGTAAAATAATCTGAAGAGACTAGATTATTTATTTCCCCATAATAACCCATTAGGTACAATTTTCTAACTCTGTGATGCTCCACGGTTAGTCTTACGAGAGTAGGCTTAGACCTGGTAACAGTGAGCTGTCTTCACTCCATTTCCTTCTGTAAAGTCTTCAGTTTAAGTGGTTGAGGAGGGGGCAGAGGAGGAAGTGAAAGGTGATGTTCTTGTTTAAAAGATGTTGATTTCCAGATGCCAGCCTGCCTAAGCATGAACCCGAGCCTTCTACTGACTCATGACCTCCACCCAGCACCTCCGGTGAGGATGGCAAACACAACAGAAAATGGTATAGTAGAACAACTGCAGTTTTTGTTTAGCTTATAGTATATTTTGCCCTGTGGGTGCCTGTTTCCCTTGCTAAGTATCTTAACCTCATGGAGTAGCTTATTCGTCTTGTATCTCCCAATAACATACAGGGTGTGTGTTCAATAAGTGATGTTTGTTGACCATACAGAAATGACAGCAGCTCCAAGAGAACATGTGCTTTGAGCTGCTTTTCCAAGAATGGAAATGGATTTGCTTTGAGCCATTCATGTGACCAGGGACCTACTTTGTCAGGCCTAGCAACATAATCCATGACTGCTAGGTCTTTCAGGAGGGCACAAGAGGCCCCGTCCTCCTCAGTCCACCCTACACCTACGTAAACCAACCCAAATAAACCAGCCTCAAATGAGTCCAAGGACTGATCAGGGAATCTTAAAAGTCTACAGGGGAAGAAAAAGCAGGAAAAAAAAGTCCTGTTAATACCTGGTTCGTCCCCAGAAACTCAGACTGTACTTTTGGAGAAGTTAAAAGTAGAACAGTCTAGCCCTGACCGGTTTGTTCAGCGGTTAGAGCGTCGATCTGCGGTCCAGAGGGACCCGGGTTCGGTTCCCGCTAAGGGCACGTACCTTGGTTGCAGTTTGTCCCCGGCCCTGGTTGGTCGTGTGGGTGGAAGCCGGTCCATGCGTCCTTTTCACATCGATGTTTTTCTCTCCCTCTCCCTCTCCCTCCCTCCCACCCACTCTATCTGAACCAAAAATGTCCTCGGGTAAGGATAATAAAAAAGTTGAACAGCCTGTTTCATCCAGTTTGGCTTTGCTGTGTCTGCTGCCTTTTGTTCTCCTTCCTCTTCTTCCCCAAACTGCCACCCACTCGGTTCCCCACCCCCTCCATAAAAAGAGCATTAGAATGCTTGAACCCATGAACTCTCCTATCTCTTGGTACACTCAGTATCAAAGCCCATAGGGTTCTATTACATGTCCTTTGAAGTCAGGTTTTTGTCTCAGCATAGAGTTGCTATGTCCAAGGGGTGGGGAGTGGGAGAGCCACATTTTAGGTAAAGATTTTGTTCCAAATCTAAGAAACGGCTAAAGGACTAAAAGGATTTTTTTCAATGTTGCTCTGTTGCCTGAAATAAACGGCTTGTCTTGAGTGGGTTTACCTGTCAGTTCACCTCTCAACCTCTCTCTGCTGAAGGCCTCATTCTCTCTGCAGGTTGGACTCTGGCGGTTTGAGGTACCTTCCCAGGGCCCGCGTGGTTGCCTTGCAGTCCTTAGAAACAAGATTTGGGGAAGCACTCCAACAGACCCAGACCTTCAGCCATAACATATAGTTTGAAAAATGGAGTTTTCCCTATCTCTGAATGGTCTCAATAGGCATTCCACAAAACCCTTTAATCGGGCTCAAGACATAGCTGAGTGCCAGGCTTCAGAACCACCCTGGAAACCCAACCCCAAATTGTAAACTATTTTTGTTTTTAAATAAACCAATACCAATTATTTTCCAAAGAATAAACCATCGTAGAACCTTGAAACAGAAATCAAAAAGAAGAAAAGGAGCCGTCTTGGAAGTTAATGTCATTACGCTACACCCAGATTTAGGGAAGAAACTGCAGCTGGCCAAGCTTGCAAATTTCACTACATAATTAAAGGAGGAGGGACCGGGTTTTACATCAGCTCAGTGCCTAACACCGAACACAGAGAAATTGTTCTTTGTATTCTCTCTGATCGTTTGGCATTCTTAAGCTCAGGTTAGGAAATAAGAAGTTCAAATCTCAGCTGTGTCTATTTGACACAGGGGCCTATTTGAGTTTTGTTGAAGGCCCCTTGAAATCATTCGAATGGAGGGAAAAACTCCCTTTCCCAAACTGCACATCCTGGCTGAAGGTTTGGGTCTGCTTGAGCTCTACCCCGAATCTTGTCTCCATTAGGAAACTGCTTGAAGAGTTGGTAAGAATTAGGTTCATTTTCGCTAACAACATGAGAAAATAAGTCCTACTGAGAAAATTAAAGCTGTGCAATTCTGAAATTAGATCTTCCCATTATTCTGTCTTCAAGATGAGGCCTCGATAACTCGCAGTAGCTTGCTGAACTCAGCTCAGTGCAACACTTCACGCCTGTGTGCTTCCAGTGTGTTACCCGCTGAGAGTCTCACTCTTTCCCTTTCTAAATGTCAGGCTGTGGACAATGCATCACTGGACCACGACCTCTAAAACACTGAAATCTACTGTAGGAAAATCCCGAGTCAGGGACCAACCAGTTTACCCATACACGGTGTGCCCAGCTGGTGTGGCTCAGTAGTTGAGCATCGACCCATGCCCCAAGAAATCGCTGGTTCAATTCCCGGTCAGGGCACATGCCCAGGTTGTGGGCCCGATCCCCAGTGGAGGGCCTGTGGGGGGCGGCCAGTAGCTGTTCTCCCTCATGGATGTTTCTATTTCTCTCTCCCTCTCCCTTCCTCTCTCTCTAAAATCAATTAAAAATATTAAAAATAAAATAAATTCTATACTGTGAGTTTTAGTGGACATTCAATATATTCTTTGTGAACAATTAGGTTACCAGAAACACAAATGCTTCATGGCAGGTTCTATTTAAAAGAATCTTTGGAAATCATACTTCATATTCAATAATCGGCCCCTAGTTTTACTGTTTTGTGAAGATGGGTTATTCACAGGTCACATTGGTTTCTTTTTTTTCTCTTTTTTTTATCCTCACCCGAGGACATTTTTCCTTTTTTTTGTACAGATAGAGTGGGAGGGAGAGAGAGGAAGAGAGAGAGAGGGAAACATCGATGTGGAAGGGACACATCGAGTGGCTGCCACCCGCACGACCAACCAGGGCCGGGGACAAACTGCAACCGAGGTACGTGCTCTTAGCGGGAACCCTTAGCGGGAACCGAACCCGGGTCTCTCTGGACCGCAGGCCGACGCTCTAACCGCTGAGCCAAACTGGCCAGGGCCACATTGGTTTCTTATTCTCACTGGGTCTATCTCTTTGTTCTCTAGATTGATGGGAGCGTTGTTGAAGCTTATGAGAAAGTTTAGGAGATTTAGCATTATGGTCAAAACATTACTTGGATCACAGCATGCCCTTTTTAGTGGGTACTTTTCACAAAGATATCCTCAACTGGGTCCAAGGTCCTTTCTCCCTCATCCCCATCCCTTTAGTCACTTTGAATCCCTGTGTGTTTTACATTCACATGCCAAATTTTCATGGGAAACAAACAGCCTTGGGGTATGTTTTTTGGATGCCTGGACTATTAATACTTAGACTGGTTCTGTATTTTTCCTGACCTCTTTTACTCTCCCCCCACTTTTACACGGTTCTTTAGAGACTTGTTTACCGGGTTGGAGAGCGCAAGGCTTAGCTGGGGTGGTGTGGATGTAGTGCCCTCTGGTGGCATTGCGTGAGAATTACACGTCTCCCTTCAAGCTGAAGAGTGCGAAGTTGTTTTCTTGACTGGCCTTCAGGGGAAGGCCTCTCTCTTACATCTCAAATATAGTAAATAACAGGTAAATTTATTGCCTGTATTGGATATTTAAGAGGTATTATCATGGGGGTATCAATTGATTACCAGAAGTTTGTTTATTTATTTTTTAAATTAGGCCTCAAATGACTAGAAATAGGCAGCAAGCAACACGTGGTTTTTCGCCTTCTCCCATCAATGTGGAGAAGTGAAGAGGGAGGAGGTCCCTGCCAAGACAGGTCATTGAGGAAAGTCCAGTAACCACAGTTAAGGGGAAATGGCAAGGATCAGAAAACTCGGTCACAAAAAGCCTTACCATCAGTCCTCACTCAGATCTGAGCCCAGAAGTTTGAGATCCAGCCAGAAGCGGAGAGTCAGCCAGACTCTCTCTCTCTCAAGGGCACCCTGGGGGGCAAGGCTGGGTGGTGGACAGAAAGTGTGACACAGACATGCCTTTTAGGGAGATCTAGAGTATTTACACCAGCGGTTCTCAACCTGTGGGTTGCGACCCCTTTGGGGGTCGAACGACCCTTTCACAGGGGTCGCCTAAGACCATCGGAAAACACATATTTCCAATGGTCTTAGGAACCAAGACACGGCGTCTCTACCCGTCTCCAGGGGGTCCGCCCACATGCAGATCCACCCACAAACAATCTGAGGAACTGTCTCAAAGGGTCGCGGCATCAGGAAGGTTGAGAACTGCTGATTTACACTGTGCTGCTCGCTCTAATTTTCTCTTTTCTCTCAACAGTTTCATTTTGAGGATCACTCCCTTCTGCATTGCCATCAACAAAATCACTGTGACCGAGAGGGCACAGTCACTGGCGTGGGTCAGACACACCTGCACTTGTCTTGCCTCTATTAGCTGTGAGACTTGGGCAAGTCAACCTGTTGAGTCTGTTCTCCGGAGGTTCCTTGTAGAAATGCTTGGAGAATTAAAGAACAATGAACACAGTAAACATTTCAGAAACAGGATGGTGGGTCTTGTTATCCCAAGCATGAGGAAGAGAGTGGACCTATTACTAAGGGGATGACCTAGGCTTTAGGATGAGTGGTGTTTTCCAAACTTTCCCGGAACTTCAGGCCTGCCTGGCAATAGTTTCCGAAAGAATGGGGAGGCGGAGATGCTGGAAGCAGACACACCTTTATTAAACATTGCCTATGCACACCGTTGGCTCGCACATAGGAAAGTATGTCACTTAACATGGCCTACAGAAGCCTGTACTTTACGTGGTGAGGAAGGGCCTCCCCAAGGGGAAGGATTTCAGAAACAGAAAACCAAGTGTATCAGCTGTGTGAACAAACTAACAAGGTGGGTTTAGTATACGTGCCTAAGAGTTCCAGAACGAGGAGTCAGTGAGAGTGGAGAAGGCCTCCTTGAGGGTGCTCAATGGAATGAGGGTGCAGGTGGGTCTAAGGCAGGGTACCAGATACGTGATGCCCATGTGATTGGGGGATGGTTTTCTGGGGGGGACAAGACTCTTGGATAGGATCTAGTAAATTGCATGTGCCAAGGTAGTGATGGTGAACTGGCTAAGTGTTGTCTGAAATGTTACTATATTAAAGCATTAATAAAGTCTCACTTTATTAACTTGAATTTGAGATTAAGCCAACCCTTAAAATTTTTTTTGGGGGGGCGAGCGGCAAAAAGAGCACATTTTCAACCTGTATAATTCAGTGCTAATTTCTGTTTATACTAGTGCCACATGGTGGTGAACAAGCAGGTACCCACTCGTTATCAGGATGAGACTTGAATGATTCTAGTTTCGAATAGTAAGAAATCATTCTTCCCTCAGGCAAAAGGCAGTCACGTGCGCCTGCAGAAGTAGCTGGTAAATAGAATGACTGCTGGACTTTCCTCGCTTCCCTCCAAAGGCCTCGCTTCTACTGCCTTCTCTCACCCCATGGCTTGTCTCCCACTTTGATCTGTTCCCACTTTGATCTGTTCCCTGGGTCCTCTACCCTGCACCACCCCAATCCGTTCAGCATCTCTTTCTCAGCCGCTCTCGTTTCCGCAGCAATTAGAGATGTATCAGCAGGTGGAGACCAGCTACTCTCCTTCATGGCCGTTACCTTCACTGGGGACCAAAGAGGGTACAATGTACATGTCTGAGAACCCACAAGGAGGAAGAGGGGATGGACAAGTGCCAGGCATCCTAGGCCCTGTGTCAAGGTGAGCTCTCTGGAAGGAGAGGAACCTGCTCATCTTTCTCTGAGCGCTCCACTTTCGGCAGCAATTTGTAGACGGGGCCTTCAGTGCTTGCGTGATATGAAGCTTCTTTGGAGCCCGTCATCTTCAAGCTGGGACTGTAACAACGATGCCAAAAGGAAGAGATGCCATAGATTCCCAACAGGCATAAAGCATTGATCATCACATGCCAGCAGAAGAAGGTAGTAATAAACATGATGTCGCTGATGTCATCATCCTGCCATGGGTAGCCGGTGACTGGTCTGTACAGAATAAAGCCCGCCTGCATCAGCCAGGAGCCCATCATCAGAAACAGAAAGGTCTCGATCATTGAGAGGAGAAGTGCGTTAGGAGCCCACAGCTCGGCAGCCAACACCAGCATCAGCAGGAACACCACCAAGATGAATAGCAGATGAATCTCCAGCTCCACCCCTGCCGAACCTTGAACGTGTGACACCAGGAGCATCAGGAGCACATAGAAGCTCAGGACCAGGGTACCTTTCTCTAGGATCACACACCTCTGAGGCAGCAAGTTCTTGCTCGTGACATCCACGCAGCCATTGAGGGTGAGGAGGATGAACATGGTGAGATGCTGCCACTCTTTAGGATGCATAAACCTTGGTGGAAATTCCCTGTTCATCAGTATCAACCCGTCTTTAACGCAGTTGATCTCATAAGCTATCAAGATGGAGCCCATCACTATTTTCAACAGACCTCCATAGGGTATTTCCCACAGCTTGGCACATCTTCCCTTATTTCTTGGAGGACATGAAGGATTCCGGAGAGAGTCACTGAATATCACTGCTTTGGATACCACTATTGCCTGGTACAGCCCATACGATAATAGAAACAGTCCTGGGTACATGTGACCGATAAAGTTTCCCATTGAACTGCAGATCTCTCTAACAAAGGAGAGAAGAACAAAACTCAGGCACGTCCACACCTTCTGGGGCCACCCCAAGGTCTGGGCTTTGGGAAGAATTGCCTTCCACCAACTTTTATCATCTTACCCCACTCACCGCACTCCCACAGAGAGGAAATACTTCTTGAATCAAGCCTACACCTTTGGTGGCGTAAAGCCTCATTGTTCCATTCCATTCTGGTACATTGGGAACTGGCTTCTGCCAAAGAGGAAAGTTAATGAATGTGTTTTTAGGGGCTCCCTTCTATGGCCCTGGAGGAGCACGCTTGAGGTCATGCTGTTCCTTTCTCCCATGGCTTCCTTCCCCTTGTGCTGCCCAGCTCGCGCAGCAGCAGGAGAGAGGACAGTGGGGTGGACAGTAGGAAGTCTGACACTCACAAACCCTTGAGTATTCCTCAGCACCCTTCTGACATAACTTGGGTGCAATTGTCAGGTTTTCTTTCTGGACACATATATTTATAAACATTTGGATATACATAACCACATAATACAAACGTATCATCTACCTGGTTTTTCTGTTCTCTTATAGACATTTCCTTGAAAATGACCAAGAAAGCTCCCTTTACTTCCTCCCCTTACCTCTTCGCATCTTTGCCCCACCCCCTGCTCCCACCTCAACTTCTCTACCGGATCTAAGAAGCGACCTTTTGGTATGATGTTAGGGACAGCGGTGGTTTTGTAGTACATAAACCTGAGCTTGGGCCATGTCTTCCAGAATTCCCTCCCCTACGTGGTTCCAGGTTGAGCTGGCTACAGGAGAAATTTACCCAAGAATCTGAAGATGGGAGTGAGGCCGCAACCGAAGCACACTTCGAAGATACAGGTGCCAGTACCACTGTAGCTCATGCATTCGGTTGCTCATCTGCTGGCGCGCCTCCTTGGCATGGCCACCAGCCAGGCCTGTGGCTCCCTTTGCTTCTCTTAGTGTGAAGGGCACCGGCTTCATCTGTGGGTCACCGCCACTGAAGAATGAGGTGGTGAGAGGCAGACACGGGTCCTCATGGGTTTGGGTTTGTCCCTGCACTTCCCTTCCTTTATGTCACATGCTTCTTCCTGGCTGCTGCCACACTGACCTGAAATGACCTCAGGCCCATCATACAGCAGGTAAGCAACAATTCCAGAGACTTCTTCACTACAGATGTGTAAGGTCTAATAACCAGAGACATTCATATTCCATGTCCCTCTGCTGCCACGACGCCTCCCTAACTGGCACGAGGTATTAAGGTGTAACTCTTACAGTGCAGATACTGTTAAGAGGGATGACTGCAGGGACCTGGTGTTGGCCATTTGCATTTTGATGTGAATTAGCCCATCAGCTTCATTTATTCATTACTAGTGTCTGATGTTCCTTGGAAGACAGAGTCCTAGGTATTGGGTAACAGCCAGATGAGTCTACAGCAGAGGATGGTAGAGAACAGAGTACAGGGAATACGAGACATGCCCTGGGCCCACAAACGGTTCTGGCTGTATTACAGGAAGTACAAAGAATGGGAGTTTCTCTGGGAGTGCTGAGGGGAGAGAAAGTTATCCCTCAACATGAACCACGCTGACATCACGGCCTCCTGCAAAAGCATCTATCCTCACAGTATAAGCAACGCTGTGCAGCAGACAGGTAGCACCTGTATGCTGACAGCGCCCCTGGTGGAGTGGAGGAGAATTCACACCCGTCACACAGCGCTTACGGCGCAAATACCTGCTCTTCCACTTCATTCCAGAAAAATTAAATCTCTCTGCCCTTGAGGATGGCAATGATTGAGATTGTTTCTTGCTACTGAGAGGTTTGGTGGGGCTGGGGATTTGAGTGTGAAGGCAAGTAAAAAAGACAACGCTTAATTCTGCTTTCTGAAGGAATTTACTTCATTTTAAAATGGAATTTTAAGTGTTTTAGTCAATGTGTAGTCATTGTAGAAAAACCAGAGAGAATATCTAGGCACGAGAAGAACATAAAAATCATTCGTGATCCTACAGTCTGGAGGTGACTGTGGTCACCACTGGGGTACAGAACAAAGTTTGTGAAGACAGCGTGAGGGAGGCAAAGGCGTTGACTGCAAGTCGGGAACCTGGGTGCTAACCCCAGTGCTCCCTTGATTTGCTGAATGGCACACCCCTTATCTGAAAAAAAGGAGTGTTGAACTTTCTGTTAAGGTGAAACTAAAAGGCCATGCATACTGTTGTACAGAAGTGAGCATATTTTTCTCCTGTCTGTTTTTCCCTTTTGGTGAACTTTCAAAACACTTGGAGTGCACTATAAAGCCCAATGCTTAGAGAAAGGAGATTCAAAGTGACAGATTTGTTTGTCTGTTTGTGAATCTTCATCTGAGGATATTTTTCCACTGATTTTTAGATGGAGTAGAAGGGAAGGAAGGAGAGAAAGAGACAAAGAGAAACATTGATGTGAGAGAGACACATCAATTGGTTGCCTTCTGCACAACCCTGACGGGCCAGGGATCAAACCCAGGTATGTGCCCTTGACCGGGAATCGAACCCATGAACCTTTGGTCCACAGGCCGATGCTCTAACTGCTGAACCAAACCAGCCAGGGTAAACTGGCAGATTTTTGTGAGTTGGGAGGAGAGAACCCCAGGGATTCTCTCTTGTTCTAAGATTTGCTATAGGAGAAGCATAGGGTCTGATCCATTGCTCCTTAGGTATCAGCAGGGCTGGGCTAGAGAGCATGTGGTCTGTAGGCCTCAAGAAGGGCTACATGTGCTCACCCCTGATGTTGCCTCTGGCACTTTGAGGTTGTGGTCCAAGTGAAGTGGGGGCAGCAGAACTTACTCTAGCCCCCCACTCACCTCCCCAGTTGTTCCTGGTAGCCACGAGTTGGTTACCAGTGGCCAGGGGAGGAGAGTACAGCAACACTGACCCAACAGCGATGCCAGGTTGGAAGTCGCACGGCTGAGGACAAATAGCCCCACTTAAGGTTCCATCTGGGATGCTCAGGCCCTCACCTTGGCCAGACACCAATGCTACATGTTCACTGAAACATGAACATCCTGATCTCAACTTTGAAGATAGGAATCACCCACCCCCAACCAGACGCTGCCCACAAGTAGCCAAGAAGGAAGCCAAAGGGGGTGAATGATTAGCAGAGCTGGCAGACAGTCCTGAGTCTGTGGGCACTGAGCGCCTGGGAAGCTGTTTCGGAGGGAAAACGTAACCACAGGAGCCCATGGAGGTCCTCCGTGAGCTGGCTGTTCCCCAGCGAGGCTCCCTTCAGACCTACCCCCTCGCCACCTCTCTGGCTTGATATTCTAGAATATCAAGAAGGTCCTCGGGAACTTAGTACACACGAATTTACCAAATTCTATGAATTCTGAATGCAGCAGAGCCTATAAAAATTATATCACATAGTTCTTATCCCCAAAGACCTTACGATTTTCCTTTTCATTCATTCATTACTATAAGTTGCAGTATAATTTTGTATGTCTTTGTGTGTTTCTCATGAATGTATTGCTAATCCCTATACGGTACCTGGAAAAAAGTAGCTGTTTAGGATTTTTGAATGAATGAATCACTCCTTTGGTCATCTTCGTTGAATTTGAAAGAACCCCTTGATTTATTACCCACCTGTTTACAAATTAGTCTCTTATACTGTGTGTCCACTTTTGTGGAATTCAATTATAAAAGTTTTTTCTTGTCATTGTTCCAAGAATCGGGGGGTAAATTCTGTTTAAATCTCTGGCCTCCTGTGCAATTACTAGTGTTTCAGAGACGGTCCCAATAGGAAATAGTTGGCAACTCAAATTGGGATCATTCAAGGATAGCTTAAAAAGGCACTTTTTACGTTGACGTGGGCTGGATGTAAAGTGACCACAAGGGACAGTTGAGTCACAGTTGGAGCTGTAACCGCCTCTAGACCCCAAGGGACATGGGACAGAAGTTCCTGGTGTGGGCAAGGACCGTGTAGTGGGATGAGTGATGGTCTCTAAAAAGATATTTTCAAGTCTTAACCCTGAAACCTGTGAATGTGACCTTATTTGGCACAAGGGTCTTTGCAGACATCATTAAGCTAAGGACCTCGAGATGAGGTCATTTTGGATTTAGAGTGGGCCCTACGTCCAACGACGTGACTTTATAAGAGGGAGGCAGCGGGGGTTTGAGACACGGAGGCACGCAGAGGGGAGGACAGTGGAGGGTGGAGGCAGAGGCCGGAGTGATGCATCCGTCAGCCAGGCAATGCTGCGGAGGGCCCGCAGTGATCAGACACCGGGAGAGAAACACGGGCGCTCCCACCTGAGAGCCGCGTGAAGGGACCAACACTGCTCACACCTTGGTTCTGGAATGCTGGCTTCCATGCTGCGAGAGAACAAATGTCTGTTGTTTTAAGCCATCGAGTCTGTGGTGACTTGTTATGACAGCCTAGGAAACTAAAACTGATGGTGTCATGGTGTTGGGGAACGGCCAGCCTAGGGTGACCCCAGAGACGGGGGCTAAGAGAATAAAAACCCTAAATTCACTCTCTACTCCATCCTTCTGCTGGGGCTCAGCAGTACCTGGAGCCAGAGGACTGAGGAGCCCAGTGATGAGCTGCAGACCAGGGTAGTCTCCTGGGAGAGAGAGCAGCAAGGAGGCGAAAGATGGGTTTGGGGGACAAACTAAAGCTGTACAGCATGTCTCTTTTTCAGCTACAGGTCGTGTAACCAACCATAAGGGGTTTGGTTTTCACCTCTCGTTGAGGTAAAAGAATTCATTTTGCCTCTTTTCCCTTTCAAGTGTCCAGGTTCGAATGCTAAATGATACGGTCACATTAGTTGTGGGTTAAAATGTTTCATTTATTTAATTTTTTCCCCATCATCCTTTCTCTCCTCTATCCCCTCTTCCACCTCCACCACCCCTCTCCCCTTGAAATCACCACACTGGGGTCCATGTCCGTGAGAACTTTCTTTTCTCTTTTGCTCAATCCCTCCACCCCCAATAAGTCTCTGCACTCATCAATATACCCTGTCTCCTGGTTGCCCTACAGCCCTAAGCATCCTTGACAGGTGTGAGGAGAAAACACAAGGCCTTAGGAAACTAACAAGAACACGCCTACCTCTGAACCCTGGATCCTATATGCCCGTATTTTCTGCATTTAGCTTTTTCCACTTCCTCTTGGAGATCTTTTTACGTCAGGACATACCGACCTCCCTTGTCTTTTCAATTCCTGCCTAGTACTCCATAATTTATTCAACCATTCCCCTATCGGCAAACAGGTATTATGGAGAGTTCTTTATGGAAGCAATGCTTCGGTGACCATTCTTGTACACGCTTTGTGTAGGAGCGCGAGTACTTCCAGAATGGATAATATATTTGAGTTCTCAGCTACAGACAACAAGACTCCATTCTGGCTACTTGAAGAGAAAGGAATTTATTAAACTAAATGGGTTAGTTCACAGCATCATTAGGGGCTGGAGAAAAAGATTCCAGCTTAAATTTGAAGGACCAATGCCCAGAACTTTACTGTCAAATGGGCTTCGCTGCTGCTTCTGGCACTGACCCCAGAACTGTGGGGCAGACCAGGTTGATGATGAGAAACAGAGGTTGACATCACTGCCAGGACTCTTGAGGCAGAATAGAAACCCCAGGCAGAGCTCATTTCTTTGCGTTGCTCTCTTCTGAGTTGAAGTCCTGAGTGGGTGTGTCTAATTGGTAACATGCCTGTACCCAGCTAGCTCCAAGGGAGGCCGGAGCTTAAAAACAAAAATCTACCAGGAAGGCAACGCCTGGTAATACGGAAACTGATCGAAATGTTGGGAGGCTGTTTAAGATGTAGTTAGGCTCACATGACACATATCCACTGCAGGTAGCAAGACGTGGAGTTGTTTGCTTGAAGGATATATGCACTTATTTATTTACTTATTTATTTTATTTTATTAATTTATTTTTGTTACAGATGTTTTTCCTTTTTCCCCTCATTGACACCCCCCCCCCAGCATTGTTGCCTCTGTCCATTGGTTATGCTTATATGCATAAATTCTTTGGTTTATCTCTTCCCTCCCCCATCTCCCCCACCCCTTCCTCTAAAGTTTGTCAGTCTGAACCCTACTTCTATGTCTCTGGGTCTATTTTGTACATCACTTTATTTTGTTCGTTATATTCCACAAATAAGTGAGATCATGTGATACTTGTCTTTCTCTGACTGGCTTATTTTGCTTAGCATAAAACTCTCCAGGTCCCTCCATGTCATCTCAAAGGATAAGAGATCTTTTTTTCTTACAGCTGCATAGTACTCCATTGTGCATATGTACCACAGCTTTTTTATCCACTCATCTACTGATGGACACTTGGGCTGTTTCCAGATCTTAGTAATTGTAAATAATGCTGTTATGAACATAGGGGTATATATATTCTTTCTGATTGGGAGAAGCCCTTTCTTAACATGTTTTTAATTCTACACTATATTTCTGTTTCTGAAGTGTCTATTACATGGCACCATGTTGATTTATGGGCCAGTGGTACTTGCTTGCTCCTATACCACAGTTTTAATTATTGATTATTTATAGTGTATTATGAAAGTTGGTAAAACAATTTAATCCTTATGTGTAGAGGACAGTGTTATATTCCTCTGGAACATGCAGAGCAAATGGGGTGACTAGGCTATGACAGGTTCTCTCCTCTTAAGGAGACTGCATTTAGTGGGGAAGGCAAAACTCCCTGGGAGACAACAGGAACAGGACAGAGAATGTATCGGCAGCATGGGGCACCTGCTGTAACCAGGTGGGAGAATTATAGCATCTCTGTTTGCATAAGGTGGTGTTCCTCTAGTGGGCAAACAAAAACACCTATTATCGCAGTTTTGACGTGTGAGAAAGAAGTCTTTATTCCTTGAGTAGAAGCCCGGCGACGAAGCTGGCGACTGCGTGACTGCCGGACTCTACTTTCCTCCATTCACAGGCCGATTTGGATCGCTTCCCTGGCTCCCATGACTCCCCCCCGCTCTTATCTATTCCCCTGGTCCTCTTTCCCCACCACACCAGTCCTATCAGCATCCCTTTCTCAGCCCCCTCTCTCCTCATCTCCTCAGTGATTAGAGGTTCAAAGACAGGAGATGTCCCACTGATGGAAACCGACTGCTCTCTTCATGGCCGTTACCTTCACTGGGGACAAAGAGGGTACAATGTACATGTCTGAGAACCCACAAGGAGGAAGAGGGGATGGACAAGTGCCAGGCATCCTAGGCCCTGTGTCAAGGTGAGCTCTCTGGAAGGAGAGGAACCTGCTCATCTTTCTCTGAGCGCTCCACTTTCGGCAGCAATTTGTAGACGGGGCCTTCAGGGCTTGCGTGATATGGAGCTTCTTTGGAGCCCGTCATCTTCAAGCTGGGACTGTAACAACGATGCCAAAAGGAAGAGATGCCATAGATTCCCAACAGGCACAAAGCATTGATCATCACATGCCAGCAGAAGAAGACAGTGACAAACACGATGTCACGGACGTCGTCATCCTGCCATGGGTAGCCGGTGACTGGTCTGTACAGAATAAAGCCCGCCTGCATCAGCCAGGAGCCCATCATCAGAAACAGAAAGGTCTCGATCAGCGAGAGGAGAAATGCGTTAGGAGCCCACAGCTCAACAGCCAACACCAGCATCAACTGGAACACCACCACGATGAGTAGAGAATGAACCCGCTGCTCCACCCCTGTTGAACCTTGAACATGTGACACCAAGAGCATCAGGAGCACGCAGTAGATCAGGAGCAGGGTACCTTTTTCTAGGATCACACACCTCTGACGCAGCAAGTTCTTGCTCGTGACATCCACGCAGCCATTGAGGGTGAGGAGGATGAACATGGTGAGATGCTGCCACTCTTTGGGGTACATAAATCTTGATAGCTGCTTCCTGTTCATCAGCACCATCCCGTCGTCAAGACAGATGACCACATAAACCGTTAGGATAGAGCCAGTCACCACCTTCACCCAACCTCCATAGGATATTCCCCACAGCCTGGCCCACATTCCCTTATTCTTGAAAGGACATGAAGGACACAGGAGAGAGTCATTGACTATAATGGCCTTAAAGACCACTGTTGCCTGATATAGTCCATAGGAGAAAAGATATAGCCCTGGGTATAAATGACCATTGAACTTTCCCATGAAATTACAAATTTTTCTGATTAAGGAGTGAAGAACAGAACTTAGAACCTCTCTGCCCTCCTCGCTTTTGAGGACCCTATCAAGTTTTGGGTTGTATATAAAGAGCTAAGTTCTACCTACTTTTATCATCTCTCTCTGCCCACTGCTCCCAGACAGAATGGAAAGTTCTGGAGAGGAGCCTACGCTTTTGATGAGGTAGTCTCATTGTTACATTCCATTCTGTTACACTGGGAACTAAGTGACTTCTGCCAAAGAAGGAAGATGAATATTTCCTGGTATGTACCTGTGAGAATGTGTGTTCTCATGAGCTCAGTGTTTGAGCCTTTGAGATGTTTCTAGTTGCAGTTGTCCCTCACTTCCATGGCTTGGGCTCATCTGCTCTGCTCCAGTGCTCAGTGGAGCATGGAGAGGTGCATGAACATGGAGATTAACCAGAAAAGACCTGGGTTACTCACAAACATTTATGTATCTGTTAAGAATCCTTACTCATATCTCTGTTCACAAAGTGTAAGCAAATATATTCTTCCTGAACATAAAAGTTTATAAACGTTTGGGATGAGCTCACACATACACATCTTAAGTACCTACCTGACCTTTTCATTTTTCTGTAACAGACAGATTTGGGGCACCGCCAAGAAAGCCCTACTCCTGCCTCCAAATCTCTCTCTCTCTACTGGACAATAGGTGAGCCTGAAAAGTCGCCTTTGAGATCAATTATGGGATGTTAAAGTATAATTTCTTATTAAAATGCAGAAATGTTGAGACAAGTAGATTTAGTAGGTTACTTATATTTAATGTGAATTAGCTCATCAGCTTTATTTTCTCCTTAAGTATCGTTTGCCCTTGTAGAAAGTGTTCTAAGCACTATATGACAGCCCGCTGCGTCCGAGGGACTGTATCTAAGGCAAGAGTTTTCATTTAGAGGGGATGGTAGAGAACAAGGTACAGGGAATTTGAAGTATGCTCTCTGCACACAAAAGGTTCTGGGTATATTGTAGGAAGTACATGAAATAGGAGTTTCTCTGGATCTGATAACTGTGCTCAGCGGAGAGGAAGTTCATCACTCAACATGAACCATGGTGACATCACTCAGTCTTTATACTCCTCCGTCCTCATTGTACAAGCAATGCTGTGGGACCGAGAGGCAGCACCCATATGCTGATAGTGCCCCCAGTGGGGAGGAGGAGTGTTTACACCCAGGTCACTGCACTGCCTCTGAGCCTTCAGGCTTATCCATGCATCTCCCTTTCCTACACCCACTTATGTCTAAAAAACCCAATCTATTCATACCCTTGAGGATGAAGGCCACCTCTTATCAGTGGGACAGTGGGGATTTGAGTATGAAAATGCTGTAAGAGAGAGAGCTTAAGATAGCTTTAAAGAAAGACTTGCCTTCCTTATTCCATTTTAACTTCAACTGTATTTTCTTTTTCTTACACAAGTGTGGCATAGATTGACTAGCAATTTTCTGTATTCATTTCCTTTCCTTCTTCTGCGTGCTGATCAACTACATTCCCCACCATGCCTACAGTGAAGATGTAGCCTTGCAACTGAATTCTAGCTAATGGAGTATGAATGGAAGTGATATACATATATTACGTCATATAATTGTCCCCCATGTACTCTCTTCTATTTTCCTTTCCTTTGGCTTTACACAGAACTTCACAACTTATCTGAAAGTCATATGTTGTTGAAGATAGAGGAGCCCATAATGGAAGGAACAGGTTTCCTGGATTGCTCCTTCTAGAAGGTGCATACACTCTTCAGGAACACTCATTTTGGACTACATATGGTCAAGAAATAAACGTTTTTTGGTTAAGCAACAGAAAATTTTACATTTATTTATTATAGCAGCTAGTTCACCTGAGCTAATGCAAAATCAGTACATAGCCTTTGCAGAAAAATTTGGAAAAATCCGCAGGCAAAAATTAGAGAAAAATAAGCACCTATAATTCAAACCTGACGTTAATCGCTGTTAACATTCTGCTGTAGAACTTCAGCTTTAGGAAGGCATGGCTGGGAAATGGGGAAAATGACTGGCAATTGAGAGACCAGGAATCCAGTCCAATATCTCCCTAGAGATTAGCAGAGATTCCATTTCTCTATTAGAGAAAAGAAAGAGTTTTGGCATCTGTGTTCTCTAAAGAGATGGAGGAGAGGAGAAGGAAAGGAAGAGAAAGAGTGGGGGAGGAGAGGAGGAAGGGAAGAAAACATGGGGGTTATTGCTTAGAAAGGAGTGATTTTGTTACCCCCAATTTTTTCCTTTTTAGCTAGTGGCCAAAACAGAAACTTTTAGAGTTGAATGCTCACAGGACGGCAGGTACAAAGGGAAGCCATGAGTACAACCCTGTGATGGAGTTAACCATGGAGGAAAAAGCTCCGGTACTCTCTTTGGCCCTTGCCTTTGTTCTAGGAAATCGCTGAGCCGCTCCGAGGGGAGGTGGCCCTTGGTACAGCAAAGTCCATTGCTCCACTAAGTATTTACCATCACAAAGAGCCTGTGCATGTTTCTGAGTAGCCCCATTCTACCTAGAATGGACTGGAGGAGTCATAGTGGCTGTTTTGGGTCACTAGCAATGTTTCCTTCAGATGTCATAGCTGTGGGTCTAAGGGGCAAGCAAATAGTGTTTACCTCCTGACACCACATTGATCTCCACCTCTTGACCATTCTGGGCATCTGTGAGCTAGTGGCTGTAGGAGGAGAGAGTACAGTAGCACTGACCCAACAGCAATGCCAGGTTGAAAGTTGCACAGATGAGGACAAGTGGCTGCACTTAAGGTCCCATCTGGGATACTCAAGCCCCCACCTTGGCCAGACATCAGCGCTACATGTTGTTCATTGAAATATGGACATCCTGATCTTGACTTTGAAGATAGGAATCACCCACCCCAAAGTAGCCAAGAAGGAAGCCAAACGGGGTGAATGATTAGCAGAACTGGCAGACAGTCTTGAGTCTGTGGGCACTGAGTTCCTGGGAAGATGTGTTTTCAACCTTTCTGTGTTCAGTTGTTTAAGCATATGCCTTAGAATCAGCATATAGCTTGACTTTGTATTTTAACCTGTTTGGAAAATCTGTGTTATTTTGACAGGGGAAATGTATGATGCTTAAATTTATTGTAACCGTTGATTCATCTGGACTTATTTTTAACATTTTAGTTTAGACTTCCATGTTCCCTTTTTGGTCCTGACTCTAGTTTCTCCTTTTAACATATTTTTATAGGAATGAGTAACTTAGATTGACTAGAATTAAAATTTCCACTGGAACAAAGAAATGTCTGCTAGAGTTGAAGTTTATAGGAACTTGAGATTGGTGACCCATTACCGTGTTTCTGTGTTCTCCAACTTTCCTTACCCCTCTGGCTCTAGCTTTGTAGAACTTCAGAAACCATCCTGCTAAATCTTGGAACGTTGACATCCATGTAGGCATGTCACATAGGCCAGGCTGTCCTTGGGTTCTCATAGCTCCAACGGTTTATGTGACGACCTCTATTTTGTTCCTCAAATAAATGAATTTTTATATATGTAAAGTTAATAAAAATCACTGCTACCTCATTCAGACCAGAACCATCTAGTGCAGCAGTCAGTGGTCAGTGTGTCTTCTTCCTGCTAAGAAAGACTAGGACATGTTGAGGTATCCTGAGAAACAACAGGATGAGGTGGTGAGTAATATGGGCTCTCGGAATACTCAGCTGTGGGCAGAATCTCAGCCTTGTCAGCTTCTCTGCCATTCAATACTTGTAAGATCTCAGTCCAGTAACTTAATATCTCCAAGCCCCATTTTCCCATAAGTAGTATAGGGTCAATAGTAGTATTACCTCAGAGGCTTACTGTGAGGATTCGAAGAGTAACCCATGTAAAAGCAGTGCAATCCTTGGCATACAGTGGGAACTCAGGAAATGGTAGCTGATATTGTTAATAACGATCTTAGTCCACACCCAGGACTCCGGACAAGACTATTTGCACACAAATGGTTGTTTCCAGAAGGAGAGCAGTGGAAATCCTTGAAGACTCATGCTATCTCTAGGAGACAAAATCCACTCCTCTTGATGTTCTTAGCATCCCCAAAGCCGACCACAGATGTTGGCCGCGAACAGAGGTCAGGGGCTTACACGCGAGCTACAGGGATTGGCCTTGTACTGCCAACCTCTGTCCTGTTTTGATGTTTTGTCTGAAGTTGCTGCATTAAGAAGACCTGGCCTTAATGAAATATTCAGTCCTGGATCTTTTCATGTTTCAAATTAACTTTAATGAGCAAACAGGGAAAGATCAAGAGACCTGCAACTGGGACTTAGGGGGGACTTTGAAGCAGACGCCAGGATGGGATAGATGCCCTCTGGAGACAGGCCAGCGTTTGCTTTTGATTGCAGCGAACCCTCAGATCTTGTTCATTTGAGCTGCAAACAAGGGCCTCTGGTACCAGGTACTAAGATTTCATCTTTTGTAATGCCTGTGTGTTCCTCGTTCAGCGGACGTGTTGAATAACTACTGTGAGCAAGACCCTTGCTCTCATGCTTCTCTCCTGTGCTTTGAGTGACACCAAGGTGAATAAGACACCGTTTGTGCCCTCAAGGACTTTGTGTGCTGCTAGAAGAAATAAGATGTACGCAAACAGCCACATTAGAGGGGAGACTGAGATGTCACAAAAGAGGTACAACGTTCCATCAGATCGGTGAAGGAACAGTTGCTTGTCCCTTGGAGGGAGCCAAGACTGCCGTACGCAGGAAGATAGATGGGAGCTGCCCTTTTAGGAAGAGTAGGATCCGGACAGGCAGAGATGAGCAGTGATCTTTCAGGTGGAGCCCAGCGTGAGCACTGGCAAGGAAGTCCAGGGAATGTTCTGGAAGTAGCAAGTTGTACCTACCCTGTGTCTTCTATTTGTGTTTTCATGGGGAACTCTCCTCATCTGAGCTCAGTTACCCCATGGGACTTGTTCTATCCACCCCTCAGAATAACTGTAGAGTAAATGACTTGTAATAGGCGAGTGTGTAGATTGTTGTAT